CCTTTGTAAGTGACTTTTCCCCCCTCCCTGAACCTCTCCTTGCGTCCAGTATTCTGAAATGGCAGTGATGTGTCTTGAAGGGGCTATGTGTAGGTCTGTGCACTCAGTGCCCCTCACTCCTAGGAAGTAATCTTGAATCATCCCATTGGTGATTTCTTCCCTTCCATCTTCTTTTTTGGAACTCCTATAATTCAGACGATGGATCTGCTGGACTCATTTCTTGTTTTTCTCTCTTACTTTTCACCTTTTCACTTTGTCTTCAGGGAGATTTCCTCAACTTATCTTCCCATTCTTCTACTGAGTTTTTCAACATTTTAAGGAATTTTATTAGTCTCACTTTATTTTTGTTCTCCAAATATTCCTTTTCGTAGCATCTTATTTTGTTCCAGAGTTGCAATAGCTTATCTCTGACATTATTAATGGCTACTTTATGTTTTCTTCTTTCTGCATAATCACTGTTCTCTCTAAATTTCCTTCCCTGTGGTTTTGGTCTCTTTCATGTTAGAGTCTTTGCCTGAAGTTCTTATCATCCTTGGTTATCACCTCACATTTAAGGATGGGTTACCAAAATGCCAGTTAGAAGCCTTTGTGCTCTGTGGGCTCAGGTACACAGGCAAGGCTTGTCGGCCAAGAGCTTCACTGCAGGGAAGCTCTGATCTCACCTCTTTAGTTCTTCCTTCTCTGGATGGTCAGCATTCTGGCACAACCAGTTCCGTTTGCCATATGGTAACCCCACTACTGCCTTAAGATTTATCCTTTTCTAGTCTGTCAGCAACCACTCACCCATATGCTTAACAGCTTCCTAAAGTATTTTGCTCATCTCTCCTATTTCCCTTTTTGCATTTATGCCTTTTAAAAAATCCCTTTGCTATAGTTTTAGTGTATTTTTAGTAGAGCAAAATTAGATACATGTGTTCAGTCTACCATTTTTACCCAGAAACTAAATATATTTTAACTATTTTTAAAACAGTGGTTTAAAAATATATACACTTGTATGTCCTACGTATCAAATTTTTTGGGTTCCTCAAAACAGGCTTGTTGGCATTGAACGATTCTATAACACGGAGATATCATGAAGTTGAACTTATAAATGTATTCTAATAAAATGTCGCTTTTACCTGTTTTAGATAGTGAGGTTCTACAAAAGGCTTGCTTGGAAAAGAGGTTTTGTTGCTTTTTTTAAAAAAGGTTTAGCTGGAGTGTATAGCTCAAGTGGTAGAGTACATGCTTAGCATACACAACGTCCTGGGTTCAATCCCCAGTACCTCCTCTAAAAAGAAATAAGTAAACCTAATTACCTCCCCCCACCAAAAAAAAGAGAAAGGGATACATGTGTCTCTCCTGGGCGATCATCTGTGGTGAAGGTGCTGCTACTGGCCTGAACTGCATGGGAGAGGGGCTTGGAGGAAGGAGTGTCCCAGCCCCAGGGGTGACATGAATGAAAATAGAGAAGACTTGCCACCTGTGAGGAAAAAGAGTTATTTCCTTATACCCCTGACTAACTTCCAGCCCCTTAACACTGTCTGCCCACAGTCCCTCCACAGTCCTGGGCATAGTAAAACATTGCATTTAAAAAAATCAGCTTTATTGAGGTACAGTTTACATATAGTAAAATTCACCAATTTTAAGTGTACAGTAGAGTGAATTTTCAGAAATGTCTACAGTCATGTAAACACCACCATAATCATGACATGAAGCATTTCCTTCTCTCAGAAACTTACAACCTCTATCTTTTAATTGCTTCTTTAGGTCATTTATATGTTTTGGTTTTTTTTTTAAAGGCAGGAGAGGGTATAGCTCTGTGGTAGAGCGCATGCTTAGCATGCCCAAGGTCCTGGGTTCAATCCCTAGTACCTTCATTAAAAAAAACCTAATTACCTCCTCTCTCTTTTTCTTCTGGCTCCTGGCATCTACTGATCTGTTTTCGGTCATTATAGTTTTTGCCTTTCTGGAATTTCATATAAGTGGAAACATACAGTTCGTGGTCATTTGTTTCTGGCTTCTTTCACTTAGTATAATACTTTGGGGATTATCCAGAAGTATTGCATGTATCAGTAGTTCATTCCTTTTTAAGGTGAAGTAGTCTGTTTCATTGCATGGACGTACTATAATTCGTTTATCTATTCACCGGTTCGTGGATGTTTAGGTTGTTTTTTGGTTTGTGCTATAACAAATAGAGCTGCTTATGAATATTTGTGTATAGGTCTTTGTGTGGACGTATGTTTTCATTTCTCTTGGATAAATGAAATCCCACTTAGTGGGATTACTGGATTGTATGGTCATGTATATTTAACTTTAAAAAAACTGCCAAACAGTTTTCCGAAGTGGCTGTGCCACTTTACATTCTCACCAGTAATATACAAGGGTTTCACTTTCCCACCATCCTCCTCAGCACTAGGTATTGTCACACTTTTTATCTTCTGACTCATCTTTGTCAGACTTGGCAACCCGATGTGGTTTTAACTTGCATTTCCCTAAGGACTAATGATGTTGAGAATCTTTTCATGTGCTTATTTACCATTTGAATATCTTCTTTAATGATGCATCTATTCACATCGTCTACTTGTTTAAAAAACCGGATTGTTTTTCTTCTTGTAATTGAGTTATAGTGTTTATAGAGTCTGGATGAGAGTCGTTTATCAAATACATGTCTTGCAAATAACTTTTTTCCTGCCTGGGGGCTTCCATTTCATTTTATTTTGTGTCTGTGTTTGTCTTGTAAAATGTTGTCTGTTTTTTGTACCAAGGTAATGCTAACCACGTAAAATGATTTGAGAAGTGTTCCATACGGTTCAATTTTCTGGAAGGTTTGTATAGAATTGTAGTATGTTTTCCTTAAATGTTTGGCAGAAATTACCAATAAAGCTGTCTGGGGCTGGAGTTTTCTTTGCGGGAAAGGTTTTTAATTACAAATTCAATTTATTTAATAGATACAGGGCTTTTCATGTTTTCTGTTTTTGGTGAGCTTTGATTGATTGTATCTTTCAAGGAATTTGTCCATTTTGTCTAATTTACCAACTTTATTGGCTTAAAGTTTTTTTCATAATACTCTCTTATTATTCCCACTATAGAGTCTGTAGTGATATCCCCTTTCTTATTCCTGATGTTGAAAAGTTGTGTCTTCTTTTTTTTTTCCCCCTGGTAAAAACTGGCTAGAGCTTTATCAGTTTATTAATCTTTTCAAAGAACCAGGTTTTGGTTTCATTGATTTTCTCCATTTTTGTTTGTTTGTTTTCTGTTTTATTTATTTTACTCTTACCTGTATGATTTCCTTGTGCTTATTTTGAGTTTCTCTGTTCTTCCTTTTCTAGTTTCTGTCTCAGCACTGCTGTAGCAGAATCCCACAAGATTTGATATGTCATGTTTTCATTTTCACTCAGCTCAAAATATGTCACAATTTTCCTTGTCATTTCTTCTTTGATTCATGGGTTATATAGAAGTGTTTTGTTTAATTTATAAATATTTGGGAATTTTCCCAAATAGCCCTCAATTATTGACTTATAATTTAATTCTGTTGTGGTCAGAGAACATATTTTGTAAGATTCCAATCCTCTTACATTTATTGATATTTGTTTTATGGCCCAGATTGTTATTCCATATGCATTTGGAAATAACGTGTCCTGCTTTTGTTGGTGAGATGTTCTATAAATGTTGATGGAGTCAAGCTGGTTGATGGTGTTTTTCAAAACGTCTTTATCTTTACTTATTTTTTTCTCTTCTACCCATTCCTGAAGGAGAAGTGTTGAAATCTCTAGCTGTAATTATGGATTTATCCATTTCTCCTTTTACTTCTGTAAGTTTTTTATTTCATGTATTTTAAAGTTATGTTATTAGATTTGTACATATGTAGGATTATGTCACCTTTTTAACTGACACGTTTATCATTATGGAATGTCCCTCCCTTTTTATTTTTGCTAATCTCTCTTGTTCTAAAATCAGAAATTAATATAGCCACTCTAGCTTTCTTTTGATTAGTATTAGCATGGTTTGTCTCTTTCTCCGCTTTTACTTTTAACCTATATGTGTCTTTGTTTAAAGTGTGTTTCTTGTAGACAGAACATATTTGAATCTTGGGTTTTTGAATCTTATCATCTCTATCTTTTAATTGGCTTGTTTAGGTCATTTATATATAATCTAATTATCAGTATGATTAGGCTTAAAAGAAAAAAAAGGGAGTGGGGAGAGAAAAGGGGTAAAAGAGGAAAGAACCCCAGATTGGGAATCAGAAAAGCTGGTTAAAGTCCTGCCTGTGTACTTCCCAGCTCTGTAACTTTACATAAATCTCATAACTCCTCTGAGCCTTAGCTGGCTCTCACATGTTTATAAGGATGAGTAAGTTATTTGTAAACTCAACATGCTTTGAAGTCATAAGGGGTTAAAGGACCATCCAGTGTCAGATGTATAGATAGACAGATATCCATAAACAAGGTGTGAGAGAACTAGGTCTCACTCTTTTCTGTATTTCCAGCACCTAGCCCCAGGTCTGGCGCATAGAATGTTACCAGTAAGTGTTCGTTGAGTGATGAGGCAATGAAAGAATTAACTTTGAATAAGTGAATGAATGATAGTCTATAAAAGACAAATGGGTGTCAGGTGAAAAGTTATTAAGTGGCTATAGCACTGCTAAGAACTGAACGTACAATGTTTAATTCCTTATTTGTTAAATGTTCAGTAGCATGGAAGAATAATTTACATGTATATGTATTTTTACTTACATATTCAGTCAATAAATTTTTATTGAATATCTACTGTGTCTAGTCCTAGGCATACAGCAAAGTCCATTTTAATCATTTGTTTTTTAAATGCCTTCAGCAATGGTAATTACCTTCAGTGAAAATGTTGACTAAGTCCTTACCCCTGGTGCAAACTGAAATATATTCCCACTAGTTATTGATTGGCTATAATATTTTAAAAAGTCTCCTTGGTGAGGATGGTATAGCTCAGTGGTAGAGCATGTGCTTGGCGTGCACGAGGTCCTGGGTTCAATCCCGAGTGCCTCTGTTAAGTTAAAAAAAAAAAATCTTCTTTGAGAAAAGAACTCTTTGTAATTGCTTTTTCCTTTTAGACTCTGATGTTTGGTTTGGGAGCATAACATTTAATGATTTTTAGAAAGTAACAGTTCAAGTTAATATAGATTGGGTGATGGATAAAAAGCTAGATAATCAAGCAGATAGATGACAGAGAGTCATTCTTCCAATCCAAGTGATGATGTCATTGGAGAAAAGAAGGTCAGTTGGAACCTGATGTCTGGCAGTTACAGGAGCTGTAGCTAGGAAGAGGGTCCTCAGGAGCTGCCCTGGAGCTTAACCCCCCAAGCAGCCAAATCATGTGTCCAGGCCTGTGTACCAGAGACACAGGACATCTTTGTGACAGACAGAGTGATCCAAAATGGAGAAAGATACACCTCCACAGTTGGTGACCCCTGCATCAGTGAAAGCCATCATCTCGAGGATTGAGGCTGCCCAGCTAACCCGGGCTCAGGAGGTAACCCCTGAGATGACAGTGTCACCCTTCTTTTGGGGTCTAATGTGGAGGCTGGGGACTGATTCCAGATTTGGGCAAGATTCCAGCTCTGGGCAGGGTCCTGGGATCCTCAGCAAGTTGGGTTTATAGACAGATTAGTGCAGGGGCAAGCAGAAATCAAACTGTGCTCCCCACCCCAGGCAGGGATGGGCCCAGGAAGGAGACAGCCCACAGGGAAGCCCTAGGATGACCCTGAACCACTTAGTGTTGGGTCCTGCCAGAGCAGGAGAATCGGTCTAGAGTTTGTGATTGGAGGTCTGTTCTTGGAAAGCTGTCAGAGTTCTTCAGGCTGACCCCTAGGAGCTCACAGAGAAATGGGCAAAGACTTGAATCACCCTGCATGTGAGCCTCTAGTGCATTTCTTTATGGGAACCTCTGATTCTGAGGTTTCTTAGGGCCTCATTTTTCTAATCTGATGCCTCTGGAGCCTGGTGAGGAGAGATGTCCTAAAGTCCCCAGCAAATTCTGAAATTCTGAAGAACTATGGATTTTTAGTTTTTTCTCCCTTCCTGATCTGGTCTTAATAATCAAAATGACAGTAATAAGAGCTAACACTTACTTTATGTGCCAGGTACTGTCCTAAGTGATTTACAAATATTAATTTGTTTAATCCTTATGAAAACCCTGTGACATAGGTACTGTAATGACCCCCACTTTACAAATAAGAAACCTGAAGCCCCGAGAGGTTAACTGACTTGTCTAAGATCACACTTTAGAACATGGTATCTGGTGCCTGAGTTCACCCCTCTAAACACTACAATCTGCTGCCTCCCATTTAGGATATTTCTTCCCAGCTCTCAGACATCTTGGACAATGTCAACTGTGTCATCAGCCGCTTCCAGGAAGAGTTAGGATATGATTTTAAAAAAAAGGCAAACTCTCACCAGACAGAGCAAAAGGGCAAGAACAGATTCATCTTGCTGGAGAAAATTACCTCCTTCTCCAAAGATGCTGAGACTAAAGAGAAGCACTTGTATGAAATTCTCCACTGGCTGGGTGACTGGGGTGAGTTTGCAGATTGGGTGCAGTCCTGAGGGTAGGTGTCTCCTCTGCAAGACCCTGGTCCCAGCTCATTCAGCCTCCCCCTTTCCCCACCCTAGGTCAGCATTCGTTGGGAGGGGAATGCAGGGTGGTCGGTGCAGAGGAAGCAAAAGACATATCGCAGTGCCTCTCCAGGGAAACTCTCTTGTCATAGCACATCACCTCTCCTCCCCAGAGGGGCAAATTGTCCAAAACATAATAGACTGTGACATTAGGTGCTTATGGGATGAGGCCTAGGTCATGAGTTCACTGTTACATCTCATTTTTTAGCAAGATAGAAACTAAATGCAGACTCACATTCGCTATTTTATTTTATTTTATTTTTCCAGCTTTATTGAGATATAATTGACAAACAATATTGTGTAAATTTAAAGTATACAGTGTGATGATTTGATATCCATATATTGCAAAAAGGTTATCATAGTAAGTTTAGTTAACACATCTTACCACCTCACTTAGTTACCATTTTTTTGTGTGTGGTGAGAACACTAAAGATCTACTCTCTTAGCAAATTTCAAATACAGGCATACCTTGGAGATATTGCAGGTTTGGTTCCAGACAACCACAATTAAGTGAGTATCACAATAAAGTGAGTCATACGAATTGTTTTGTTTTCCAGTGCATTTGGAAAAGTTATGTTTACACTATACTGTAGTCTATTAAGTGTACAATAGCATTATGTTTAAGAAAACAATGTACATGCCTTAATTTTATATATTGCTAAAAAATGCTAACCGTCATCTCACAATGCAGGGTTTTCACAAACCCTCAAATTATGAAAAATGCAGTATCTACAAAGAGCGATAAAACAAAGCACAATAAAAAGGTATGCCTGTATACCATTCCGTATTGTTAACTATAGTCACCATACTATACATTAGATCCCCAGAACTTATTCATCTTATAATTGAAAGTTTGTACCCTTTGACCAGCACCTCCTCATTTCCCCCACCTCCCAGCCTCTGATAACCACCAATTTACTCTGTTTCTATGAATTCAACTTCTTTTAGATTCCACATATAAGTGAGATAGTACAGTAGTTGTCTTTCTCTGTCTGACTTATTTCACTTAGTGTAGTACCCTCAAGGTCCATCCATGTTGTTGCAAATGGCAGGATTTCCTTCTCTGTTATTACTGAATAATATAGATCTTCCTTGGCTTATGATGAGGTTATGTCCTGGTGAACACATCGTAAGTTGAAAATACTAAGTTGAAAAGTGTATTTAATAATACAACTAGTTTACCAACATCACAGCTTAGCCTAGCCTACCTTAAATGTGTTCAGAACACTTACATTAGCCTACAGTTGGGCAAAATCATCTAATACAACACTTATTTTAGAATAAAGTGTTGAATATCTCCTGTAATTTACTGAAGACTGTACTGAAAGTGAAAAACAGAATGGCTGTGTGTGTACAGATGATAGTCAGTGTATTGGCTTACCCCTGTGATTGTGTGGCTGACTGGGAGCTGCACTTGCTGCCACTGCCCAGCCTCATGAGAGAATATCATGCCCCATATTCAAATTCAGAATTCAAAATATGATTTCTAAGGAGTGATGTCACTTTTACACCATTGTAAAGTCAAAAAATCCTAAGTTGAACCATCCTAAGTTGGAAACTATCTATATTTCATTATATGTACCACATTTTCTTTATCCATTCATCCATTAACTGACACTTAGGTTGTTTCCATGTCTTGACTCTTGTGAATAATGCTTTAGTGATCATGTACATGCAGATATCTCTTGGAGATAGTGATTTAGTTGCCTGTGGTTATACACCCAACAGTGGGATTGCAGGATTATATGGTAATTCTATTTTTAATTTTTTGAAGAACCTCCATTGTTTTCCAAGATGGTTATACCAATTTACATTCCCACCAACAATATATAAGGGTCCCCCTTTCTCCATGTCCTCACCAACACTTGTTATCTCTTGTCCTTTTCATAATAGCCATCCTAACAGGTATGAGGTAATATTTCATTGTGGCTTTGATTTGCATTTCCCTGATGATTAGTGATGTTGAACACCTTATCAACATCCTTGTTGGCCATTTCTGTGTCTTCTTTAGAAAAATGTTGATTCAGATCCTTCACCCATTTTAAAATTGAATTATTATTATTTTCTTTGCTGTTGAGTTATATGAGTTCTTTTTGTATTTCGGATATTAACCCCTTGTTAGATAAATGATTTGCAAATATTTTCTCCAATTCTGTAGGTTGGACCTTTTCATTTTGTTGATCATTTCTTTTACTGTGGAGAAACTTTTTAGTTTGATGTAGTTCCACTTATTTATTTTTGCTTTTATTGCCTTTGCTTTTGGTGTCCTATCCAAAAAAAATCATTGCCAAGACCAATATCAAGAAGCTTTTGCCTGGTGTTTTCTTCTAAAAGCTTTATGGTTTTGGGGCTTGTATTTCAGTCTTTAATCATTTGAAGTTACTTTTTGAGAGTGGTAAAAGGTAGGGGGTCCAATTGCAGTTTTTTTTGCATGTGAATATACAGGTTTACCAACACCACTTACTGAAAATACTGTCCTTTCCCTACTGAGTGTTCCTGGCTCCCTTATCAAATATTACCTGGCTGCATATGCATGGGTTTATTTCTGGGCTCTTGATTCTGTTCCATTTGTCTATATGTCTGTTTTTATGCCAGTACCATACTGTTTTGTTTACTATACCTTTGTAATATAATTTGGAACCAGCTTGTGTGACGCCTCCAGCTTTGTTTTTCTTTCTCAAGAATGCTTTGGCTATTTAGGGTCTTCTATGGTTCTACATGAATTTTAGGATTGTTTTCCCTAGTTCTGTGAAAAATGCCATTGGGATTTTTATAGGGATCACATTGAATCTATAGATGGGTTTGAGTAGTATGGACATTTTTATATTAATTTTTCCCATCCATGAACATGGAGTATCTTTCCATTTATTTGTGTCTTCTTCAGTTTCTTTCATTAATGTCTTATAGTTTTCACTGTAGAGTTCCTTCACCTCCCTGGCTAAATTTCTTTCTAAGTATTTTGTTGTTTTTGATGCTATTGTAAATGGGATTGCTTTCTTTACTTCTTTTTCAGATAGTTAATAGTTAGTGTGTAGAAATGCAACTGACTTTTGTATGTTGATTTTGTATCCTGCAACTTTACTGAATTTACTTATTAGTTCTAATAGTTTTTTGGTGGAGCACACTAGCTATTTTATAGAGGAAGCCAAAGGTGGGTACTAGGTCAAACACCACTGATGCCAGCTGTAAGCAACTGGTATAGCCATTTGGGTGTGGACCAACTGCATGCAGGCCTGGAGCCAGGTGCTGCCCAGATTAAGATCAGAGTTATCCCATCAGGAGGCCTCAGTCTGCTGTGAGGTGTGGTGACTGATGCAGTGTTGGAGGAAGATGGTATAGGGATGTGCCCTCCTCGCCTCACACTGCCCTGCCCCGGAGGACCTCTCAGTTTAGCGGTCCTTCAGCTGCCCCCAAGAATTAAGCAGGGCTGTTAACTCTGAGTAATTCATGTAATTGTCCAGATATTGGACTAGGCAATGAGGGTAGAGCAATAACAAGGCAGATACATCCCTGGCCTTGTAGTACAACAATACTGTCTAATGTCTGTTGTACATTTTCTATATGGCAGGTCTCATGTTAATCGTTTCCCTTGCATTATCTCATTTAATCCTTACCCAGCCCTTTTATTGGCAAGGATACTAAGGATTAGGGGAATAAGTGACTTGCCCAAATCACACAGCTAATAAGAGGTGAAACCAATCCAACCTCAAAGCCTGCTGGTGTAGCCCCTGTGCTGTAGGGCTGTTTGGGTCTCCCTAGAGGACTGCTTGTTCTCAGCCTGCTCCTCCCACTGTCTCTCCAGGTGACAGTCTGACCTATGAGATCAGGAACAGGAAGAGTGAGGAGGAAGAAGAAGCCCTGGATGAATGGATCGAGGTGATGGAGAAGGTGTTACCTCTCTCCCTCATTGCCACCAAAGGAGGCATCGAGTCTCTCATTTCCCTTTGCTCCACTCTCATTGAAGGACAGAAGAAAGGGGCACAAAGTAGGTTCCAGGAGCATCTCGGAGAGAAGCTTAGTGGGGTGGATGCCATCTCAGGGAAGAAGTCACACAGCAGGGTCTATGGGAGTCTTTCCGATTCTCCTCCATAAAAAATGCTGAGATGGATGGGCAGTGGTAAGAGGTTGGGGTGATGAACCCAAGCTGAGCACTGAGCAGTTATGGGCTGTCCCTCAGGCTGAAGGAAGGTATGATGTGGAAATAGGTTCCTGTTGGTGCTCCCTGGAGCTGCTGCCTCGCGGCTCAACCTTGAAATATTGCTCCTATCAGCACTAAAGGGACCTGAGATTATCTAACTCCTACATTCTGTGGATGAGAACACTGAAGCTCAGAGAAGAGGAGGGACCACAAGGAGAGCCTGTGGCAAAACCAGACCCCACACATAGGTTTTCTGGTCTCCTAATCTTACTCAAGGACATGGGCTTCAGAGCCAAACAAACTCAAATTTGAATCTCAATTCCTGACAGTGGGGCTTTGGACAAGTTACTTCATCTTTCTGAACCTCACTTTCCTCATATGCAAAGTGAGGAGAACACCGCCCACTTACAGGGTTTCAGTCAGTGCGAGGCATCTGGCACTTTGCTTAGAACGTGCTCGGGGTTTAATGGACAATAGCTGACATTAGCGTTTTACCGCTGATTGTTGTGGCCTGGTTCCTTCCAGTCAAGCAAGGTCAATAGTTAGCGGGGGCATGGGGTAGGTGGAGGAGCAGGGAAAAGTGGAGGAGAAGGAGACAGTCTCTCTTACAGTCCTCACAATAATCCTATTGTATTTGTATCCTCGACTTATTTCCTTGCTAAATTATAAACTCCTAGAGGGCAAAGGCTGTGTCTTTTTTTTTTTTTAAGGGATTAATTATGGAGCTCTTTCAAGGCACACCTTGTTCTGTACTTGGTACTAAACATGCATAATCTACTTAAGTCCTATGAAGTAGATGGTATGATTATCCCCATTTTTCAGGACTGGAGACACAGAAGTTAGGAAACTTGCCTAAAGCAAGTGGGAAGTACGGGATTCAAGTTATCTGATTCCAGAATCCAAGCTCTGAACCATTAGGCTGTATGGCCTTTCTGACACTATTAGCTAGATGCTAGCTTGACTTCAATGTCATTTAATTTCCATATTTCCTTTAGTCCCTCATCTAACGTTAGACAGTGTTTTTTCTGCCAGTGATGTTCATTGAATAGGTAAATGAATGGATGCTCCAAGATAACCACTCCAGCAGCTCTGCACATGGTAGATCCAACTATGACCATCAACCATCCCCAAAGAGCTGAAGTCTATGAATAGGTTTGACCACAAAGTGCACAATCTGTGTTTTTGTATGTTTTCCTGCTTTCTTCAAAGTATTAAACGAGTTCATGACCCTCAAAATAGAAAAAGACACTAGGCTTTTTTTTTTTTACTGTGAACAGTTAACAGAACCATGTGATAAATTCTCTACAAATATAGTCCAGTAGTAACAGAAAAAGGATTAAAATTTCCCAGGTGATCTGGAGTCCAGGTGCCAGGTGGGCTTCCAGAGTTTGTATAGTTGACAATAGGTAGCCAAACACAGATACTGAGGCTGGAAAGTAGCACAATTAGAAAAATAACTCTACTTCAAGGAGATATGGAGGATCAGGAATGTGCTGAATTGAGTTGAACTGGATCAAATAGGTCCAGACCCCTCTGGGCCCTGCAGATGCTGCAGAGCTGACAGACCCTGGTGCGTAAGCTCTGGGCGAGCTCTGAGCCCAGCAGACATCTCTCCTGACAGTATCTCTCCTGGCCTCATACGATGGCCCAGCTCCAATTATTGCCAAAGTCTAAGAGGGTTGGATGGGAATTTGGTCTAGCAGGGTCTGGAGAATCAGTATAATCCTTGGATCCATAGGAGCTTATTGCCTTTGTTCTCTCCACCTCTCCTAGTGGCCAAACACACCTTCTGGCAGGGCTGGCAGGAACAAAGCCAGCAAAAAGCAATATCCTGTCCTCAGCCCCTGAGCCCAGAGCAGATGCTCCAGGACAGGCACATCACCTGCACCATGGTCTCCGAGGTGAAGTCCATGCTGCAGGAGCTCCTGGACTCTACCATGTTCAACCAGGGGGAGGTTAGGGCCATTAGGTACATGTCAGCTGTGGTGGAGAACCTCAACAAGGCCTTGATCCTCCAGTACAAGGAGAACAGGAGCCTGGAGACCAAATACAGGTACCTAAAAATAGAGATGACCAAAGAACTCAGCAGCCAGAGGCTGTACTTCCAGAATTCCCTCCAGGTCCTTGAGAGTAAAAGAGATGCTCTACTAAAGCAGGTAGAAGTTCTAGGGGGAAAATACCATGACCTTCTCCTGATAAAGCATGCCTTAGAGTTCCAGCTGAAGAAGGCTCAGTCTAACAGAGGTCAAGCAGAAGTCTCGGCCAAGGTCGTTGTTGACTCCCCAGCCCCCACTGAGAAAGACACCCTCCCAAAGAAAGAAGCAGTCATAGAGGAAAGCCAACAGGAGCCCAAAAAATGGGAGCAACTTTCACCACTTTCCCCAAGTCCCATGGCCGTGGCCTGGGAGAGTGGCACCAAGCCTTCCATGTATCAGCCACTTTCTACCATGACTGTGCATTCAAGGATCGCAGATGTGTACAGCAGCAGGGACACTGAATGTCTTCAGCCTGTGTTACCATCCTCTGTGGATCACAAGTTTCCTAAGAAATTGGAAAGACCAGAGGCAGAAAGTCCTGGCCACAAAGTCAAAGACCAGAAGGATTTCTTCCAGGAAGCAGTCCAGGAGAAGGAAGGACTCCAAATTAAGTCCCATTTGCAGAAGCAGCTGTCCCCAGAGGGCTCTTGGAAGGTGGCTGTGGAGAGCAAGGCAGAGCACCAGGAAGAGGAACTCAGCTGGGAGCGCCGGAGGCAGCAGTGGCTGGAGGAGGAGGAGATGTGGCTGCAGCGGCAGAAGATGTGGGCCCTGCTGGAGCAGGAGCACCAGGAGAAGCTGCGGCAGTGGGAGGTGGAGGAGGTGGCAAGGGAGCAGCAGCAGAAATTGGACCAGGAGCAAGGGGGCCCATGGAGGGAGCCAGGACAGCCAAGGGAGGAAGCGGAGAGAATGATCTTCATGCCCACCAGTCGATGGAGGGCCTTGGAGGAGGTATCGCTGGCACCTCCCCCAAGCCGGGCCCAATCTGCCCAACAAGACAGGAGGCCACACTTGTCCAGGTCCACTAAGACCCAGCAGCCTGTGCCCAAAAACCAGAAGACCATGAGTTCAACTGAGTTTACCCAGAAACCATGGACCTACCAGGTTCCCACGAAGCCCAAGAAATCAGCCTCCTTTCCTGTCGCAGGGACATCCCTCCGGAAGGTGACCCAGCTCCCTTTGCATATATCCCCGGTAACTTCTAAGAGGAAGGTCTACCACGTGGACGTGGAGGCCCAGAGGAGGAACCTGCAGCTCCTGAGTGAGGAGGGTCAGCTGGGGCTGCCCGACTACCTGCGCAGCAAGGCACTGGAGCTCACCACCACCACCATGGAGCTGAATGCGCTCCGGCTGCAGTGCCTGTGCCATAAGTACATCCTCTACAGACGCTTCCAGGGCCTCCGGTAGGTCCTCCCCAGCACCTACCCACACCCACTGCGATGTGTGGGCAGAGCCAAAACTCAACAAGAAAAGAAGAGCACAGGGCAGGGGGATCAGGGAGAATCACTCCAGGACTGGACAGGGTCCCTCTGAGGGAGGAGCCTGGCAAAGGATGCCTGACCTCAAGGCCCTGGGTAGCATGCAGATGTGGGAGGTTAGGCCCTCACACGCTGCTTTTCCTCTACTGGCCTTTTCCTCTAAGCCCGCTTCCTTGTTTCTTCCTCTCTTCCTACTGTCCTGTCCAGAAGCCCCCTAACATGCTCCCCCCTATCTGCCTTGCTTTTTCTTCCTGTTTCCAGCCCAGCCCAAGGCTCCTCTCCTGACACCACTCCTGCTTCTCTGTTCCCTGTTTTTCCCAGCTCTCACCAACCACCGTTTCTCTTCTTGCTCTCAGGGATTACAAACACAGTGTCATCCCTGGTTAACGGAGTTAGGGGCAGGAAAAGGCCCCTTCTCCCACTGAATCACTTCCCTCTCCTCCCAGACAAGAAATGATCAACCGTATACAAGTTGTGCAAAAAACTGAGGCTGCCTGGAGGGCCCAGAACCTCTACATCTTCCTGGAAAACATCGACCACCTGCAGAACCTCCAGCTGCAGGCCTGGACGGACAAGCAGAAGGACCTGGGGGAGAGGTGCCGAGAGTGCTTGAGCAGCATGGTGACCATGTTCCCCAAGGTGGGCCTCCCATCCAGCACCATCAGGGCTCAGTTCAGCCAGCAGGGATGGGGCCAGGGAATGAGCCATGGGGATGTGGGGTGTGTCTGGGGGCAGGGGGAGCAGATGGGAAATAAGAGAGCAGATTAAAGTCTCTGAATCGGGAAGAAGTGAAGGCCAGGAGGAGGCCTGAGTGTAAGGAAGGGCAGTTTTCCAATCTCCATATATGGGGAGAGCATGGCAGGGAGGGATCCTCAAAAAGAGCCGGAGAAGAAAGGCTCTTCTGGAAGGGCAGGTAGCGGGAGACTGCAGTACTGACTCTGTGCTCAGGTTCTCCCTCCCTGTGGGTCTCCCTGCTCCTGTCCAGCCTGGTTGCTCTCCAGGCTTGGTCACAGCTGTCCTCTTCACCCTCCTGAAGGCTGGGGACTTGCTTCTCTCTGGGGACGACTCCTCTGTTTTCTAGATGCCAGGTCTCCCTTGTTTTAGTGGAGTACCTCCTCTAGTCACTTCCTGACAGAGGGTTCGTGGCAGGTAAAATCACTGAGACCCTGATTGTCTGGAAATACCTTTACCTAGTATTTACCCTCAGCTTTTTTTTTTTTTTTGAAGTATAGTCAGTTTACAATGTTGTGTAAATTTCTACAGCGCGTTGCTTCAGTCATACATGAATATACATATACTCGTTTTCATAGTCTTTCAACTTTTTAAAATCAGTTTTATTTTGAGGGGGAGGTGATTAGGTTGGTTGGTTGGTTGGTTTGTTTGTTTATTTATTTTTAATTTATTTTTATGGAGGTACTGGGGATTGAACCCAGGACCTCATGTACCTGTAACTCTTAGTTGGCAGTTTGCCTGGATATGGAAGTCTAGGTTAGAGTTCATTTTCCCTCACAATTTTGCAGGCAGTGCTCATTGCCTTCTAGGTTTTGGTGTTGCTGCTGAGAGTCCAGTCATTCTGAGTTCCAGTCCACTGAGTCTGATCTATTTTTATTCTCTAAGGGCTGGCTTCAGTTTCCTCCACTCTCCCCTGCTACCAGGGTCAGAGAAGCAGCGAGTGCCAAAAGAGTCCATAGGGGGCTAACCGACTGCTTGGAGGAATTGGAAAATCCCACAGCAATGACTCAGAACTCCTGAGATTTCCCCTAGGGTTGGGCCAGGAGGTAGCCCCTCGAGTCCTGAGTGGTAATGGCCTGAGTCTGGGGGAGGCAGTGTCCTGAGGGGTATAAGTGCCAGCATCAGGCAGGTGGAAGAGCCTTGGCAATGGAGGTATCTCCCAACTCAGTTTCCTATTGCCTTATACTAGACTAGTCCTGATCATCTCCTGTAGAGGTCTTGATTTGTTAAGTTGGTTCTGAGGTTGAGAAGGAAAGGGACCATATAATTCTTTAGGTGGCTGTGAGGGTTTCCTCAGCTCTTTGTCCAGAGCAGGGACTGGATGACAAGATACTGAGAACATTCTGGGCACAACCTGGCCCCATGTCATGAACTCTGTGAGTGCTCTCACAGTTCCAGCTACCCTGGCTTCCTTTAGTTTTTTCCTTGGTTTTTTGCCTGTTGTCCAGATTCTCCACAACAAAGGAGAAAATAGGAACTAACCCAGCAAATAATGATTCAAGGAATTTCTAGGAAATGCAACACCCTGGGGTTCCAGGGTTCTCTAATGGGAGGGATTCCCTGGACCCTACCCTTTCTGCTCAGCCCTGAGTCAAGCAATGCCTCCTCCCACCCTAGAGAGGGAATATCTTCCTGTCCCCCTGATGCCTCTCTGCCGGTTCCTCTTAGCTCCAGCTGGAGTGGAACATTAACCTGCACACCCCTGTGGTCACTTCCCCAAAGTCAAGAAAAAGCAAGCCGCCTCCATCCTTACTCCAGCACACTCACTCCAGCAGCTCCTCCTGCAAGCAGCCCCTGGAGCTCTTTATGTCTAGGGGCCAGCAACTTGTGCCCCTGCGGGTGGCCCGGTAGGTGCACAGAAGCCAGGGGGCAGCCGACTGGATGGGTGGGAAGGCAGGGAGGAAGGGTGGCCAGACTGGGAGGCTGGCAGCTCTGGGAAGGCACAGACAGGCAAAGCTCACCCCATGAATTGCAAAGAGCCTGTCTTCTCAGCTGCCAGGCCGAGCTCTGGCCATTGGCCCAAATGGAGGTATGTGTGCACGTGCTGTGTGGGCTTCAGGAGCCAACCTGACCAAGTAGGTTTCAAACTATGCAACTGAAAGACCCTGAGGACCCGCAGCTGAGAACTTACAACCATTTCTATGCTGAGCATTGATCCATCACCTGCCATTGGTCCATCCGTATAAACAAACCTGATGCTTCCCACCATGTGACCCCCCCAGGCTCAAAGAGAGACACTGTGAGCCTTTGGGCAGCCAAGAAGGGCCACCTTCACAGCCTCACTAGTGTAGCCAGTTCAGGGCTTCTGCCCCAGGGCACGTGGGCTACCCCCGCAGCCTTTTCCAGTAGTGCCTCAGCTAGAGGAGACCCAGCGAGGTGAGATGGGGAGTTAAGGGGAAGAGACGTGGCAAGGAGGGTGTGACACCTATTTGAGAAGGGAAGAAAACTGTGGAGAGCTTGTTGCTTCTCAGTCTCTCCCTTTCTGTTTGTCTAACTCTTCATCTCTTTTTTACACTTTCAACCCTCACACCCCAGCCAACAGGGGAACCATATGGAAGCCATCTGGAAGGTTGATGTAGCCTCCTCCAGTCACCCAGTAGAAAAGAAGACCCCTGCCAGCCTGTCCTGGGATCAGCTAGGGGGGTACCCAGATACTCCGCGGCTGTTGGCATTGGATGTGCATTCCTCTTACCACAAAAGCTTGATGTCCCTCCAGGCCTAGTAAGGTGCAAGGCCGGTTGGTTAATCTGGATTCAGGGAGACCTGCCCAGCAAGGGCAGGAGCCAGGGTACACACTATCTGTGTCCAGCTGCTCAACAGATCTCTTTCCACACATTAATAATGACCTCATTACTGTACCACATCAGACAGAGATGCTTACCTGCCTCACTGGCCATGAGCTTGGATCCCCATGCCAACACCATTCTAGTTCTCTCAAAGGACTGACTGCATGTGGCATCTCAGATCACAACAGAAGTCTTTCCTTCCCATTTGCTTTCTGGGCTGCACAGAAATTGCTCGAGAGGCATATCTGCCCTAGGTCTGGGGATTGTTGTCAAGGTGAGCTGGATGCAGGAGTGAAGAGTTGAGAGAGACCAAGAGTTTCGGATAAACCTAGGCCTGTCTTTGGCATCGGCATTGCCTTACTGCCTTCAAGAACTGCCCCTGGGAAGAGCAGCTGAGGGGACAGAGGCAGGACTCAGTGGGCCAACAAGGGGCTTTTCTGGTTGGGAAGGTTCAACTCTGCCTCTCTTGGCTTAAAGATGTCAGTATTGAAGACGCAAGTCTCTTCCAAGGAGTCTTTCTAGATTACTAATCCCAGCCACCCTTCATGGCCCTGGCCCTGCCACAATTAAAGATCTTTGGTAGAGAGAGGGCACTGATGCCTGCCAGTATAGACCTAACTGGAGCCGAGGCTGTGAGATGCTGGTGCCGGCCCCATCCTCTAGATGGACTTGGGGAAGACAGTGGGGCGTGGCAGCATCAGAGAAGGCTGGTTCTTGTCAATGCTTCTGCTCTGAAGTGGGCCTGAGAGCCCCAGCTGGACTTCAACATCATGGCTCACCTAGTACATAGATAGCTGGTTTTCAGTTCCTGGAGCGTTCCCAAGGGCTGTGTGTGTGTGGTGGTGGTGGTGGTGGTTGTGGTGGTAGTTAATTTGGATATTTAAAACACAATTGAGAATAACCAAAACAACAATGTAGCAGAACTCAACTGGGGCCCTGCCCTGCTGAGATTCGGCTAAACTTGCTCCCTGCTCTCTCACCCCCGTGTTGGTATCTCTCCTCTCCGAGCTCCTCTCCCTCTGCATCCCTGCCAGTGCCTGGGCTCTGCTAAGCATCTATTTGAATCCAAGGCCCCAACCCCTTGGTTCTTACCTCTCACATTAATACATGCACCTACATGTCTAGTGTGCACACTCCACTTGACTCCAACATTTCGTGATGCTAGTAACTTTCTGAAAATTTAGGGGAGGTGATGGGGAAAGGGATTCACAGTGAACAGCATCAAACGGCAGCCTCTTTCTTACATTCTGTCTTTGGTATAACATGCAAAATTCAAAAACTCCTTCCTGTCTCATGCAGAGCTATTCCACCCACACCCCGGCCTCCACTGGGATCTCAGCTTCAGACTTAAGCACTAAATCAAAATATTGTTCCCAGCAAAGACAGCTTCCTCATTCCAGGGGAATTTAGGTGAATACAATTTTCTTCCCCTTTCTCTAACTCTATACAGGTTTGTTCAGTTTATCACACTGCCAGGTGTAGAGGCCAAGCTCTGCTGCTTCTGTCTTCGTTATCCACATGCCAGGTTGGCACCAACTACCTGTGTGTCGGGCTGGTCCTCGGTGTTTCAGTGTGGGGGCTCCCCGCACAGCCTTGGGAGCTCATGGCTGTGGCGTGAGAATCTGCTGCTCCTTAATGAAAGTTCTCTGCTGCTGCTCCAGGGGTGGTGGGCGTGCTGCTTTCCTTGTGAATACTCCGTGTGTGTGCCACTCTGGAGACACACTGCTTCCACTCCGAAAAGTGCACCTTCTCTTTGGCCGCCTGCCCCGGCCCACCTCGAATCCACACGTCCACCTGTTCTGTGAGCCCAGGTCACTTACCTCTTTGTGATCCTCATGACCTCCCCAACTCCCCAGCTGTGCTGTCCAGTTCACAGCACTGTCTAGTTTCATAACTAGGACCAGCCTGACGCCGACTGCCCCATTCTTCTGGTCGGCCTGCCATTGACGGCCTGTCTCATCAAAGTCCCGCTGGGGTGTCCTCTCAGCATGTAGGGAAGGGCTAGTCATCTTTCCTCTGTAGTTTGGGACTGTGTCCCTCACAAATGAGCAGATCCCCTTCTCCAAGATCTTTTTCTGCTTTGTCTTATAAGTGTCTTCCCTGGGCTCTTTTGTCTGCCAGGTTAAGATAGCTGTGTGCCTCTATGCACCAAACACTATCTGCAGTTGGAGAAGACTCTCAACCTTGACTCTAGCTGCCCTGGCCCTCCCTTGCTCAGAGCCCATTTCTGCACAAAGTCCACAATGGTTCCCATGCACGCGCCAAGATGCAGTGAGCACAGACACACAGTCGTACACAGACTTCCAACATGGTGCAGACAGACGGGAGGGCTTATAACTTGGTTTCTGGGAAGGAAACAAGATGAGGGTGGAGAGGAAGAAACATGGATGGGTAGGAGGGAGCAGGGAAGAGTGAAGGGAGGGAAGAGGGAGTCTTCTGTGACGTGAAACCAGAGGAAAATTCACAGGAAAAGAAGCAGAGCTCTGGGATATGGCAGAAATGTATGTTAAGCAGTTCCACTTCTGGGTCAGTCTGGGCCCAGGCCTGGACTGGTCTCCCAGAGACAACCAGGGAAGCTCTCGGGTGGGCTGTGGGCACTCACATCTTGGGACCTTATCTTAGCGGCTCCCCAACCCGTAACTGTATTAACTCTTTCAGTGCTTCAGTGACCCAAAGAAAGGAACACCAGGAACTCCCAGACGAGTCAGCTGAGCTTATTCGTAAAAAGTCTAATGAATCCTTCCCTGAAACAAAGAGCCAGAAGGATCGAGACAATCCCAGTCCCCATGCCATGCCTTAGCCAGTGATTCGCAAACTCCAGAGTGACTAAAAATCACATGGAAACTTGTTCCAAATGTTGGTTCCCTGCTGGTGTTTTTAAACAAACATTCTGGGTACTGCTAAGTAGTCCTAGAACTTTGAGAAACACTATTTCCCTCCTTCAGTCCCCAAACTGTACCTTTTTAATAAAATAGAGGTGTGTTTATTTTTTTAATTTCCTGTTTCATTTCCACACTTTCCCAACTCATTTTTGGAACCAGGTCCATGACCACCTGGCCACTGACTTGGACACCAGTCACAGAAGATTCCCCAAGTGTGGTCTCTGCCTTCTGGGAGCTGACCAGCCACAAAGGCCATGATTAGTGCCTGGCGCACAGTGGGGATCAGTAACCCTTCAATTTATCAGAGACAAAGATGAGTAAGTAGCGGATATACTGATGATTAGCATGAAAGCTCAGAAGATACGAGCAAAAGGAGATACTGAGTACAGGTCAGAGCCAAGTGAGACTGGGTCGGGGGCAAAGGCAAGTGGGCCTCTGAGGATTGGGGACAAAGATGGAAGAAATGGGGACACGGAGTTTCTAAAACTAGATGGTGAGGGCTGAGGAGGCCATCCCTGGCAATTGTCTGGTCAGTGAAGATACTACTTTGGTTAGTTCACTCAGCTTACGAGCACCATCCCACCCTCACTCTCCCTTGGACTCACCATCTGCCTGTCTCCCAGGCGGCCTCTGCCCCCACCCTCCTCCTCCTGTCACCCAACCAGACCAGGCATAATAAAACATTAGCTAGGAAATTACCCTGGCCTCAGAAAACCCACAATCCAGTGATTCTGTTTCTTAGGAATGGCACCCATCCTTGCTTCCAGCTTAAGGTTGAGACTCTGGAAGTAAGAGGAGGATGTGGGATGCAAACAGATGGCCCTTGGGTGAAGCTGGAGAAGGATTTGATCTGAGCCACAGCTTAACATATTGCAAGGAAGACCGTTGAGGAGAGGAAGGTGAGAGGCATTCCTGATGCAGGTCACACGCACAGGACAGCTGTGGCAGGAGACAGCTGTTTCTAGCATTTCAGGCTCATTCTTTTTTTGGGAGACCTCACCCCAATTGTAGCCAACATAGTAAAATGCCTTCATGCTAAATGTATTGCTTTGTAAATAATTTGAAAGGATTTTTATAATGTTGCTTTGGAAATTAACTGGCTATGAGTAAGTTTTTTTTAATGTGTAGTTGGCTAAGTGTATTTCTCAGCAATCATGATGCATAGAGATGAAATCTTAACAAGTTTTATAAATGTAATGGGAATATTTTTGAATATTTGACAGTATAGTGAAACTGACAACATTATGTTTTATAAACATCTAATTTTTTGTTTTACATTTTTATGTTTTGATACCAATGACATTTTTAAAGGTTTCATACATTTTCGTAGGCTCTTGGCTCTGTGTTTAAGGTGCCCGGCAGCTAAACCTGCTCTGGTGATGGAGGACTTTGACTTTCTGGATGTTCTCTAGCAAGCTCTCTGGCAAGCAAGCAGAGTATCTGATAGATGCACCAAACTTCAAAGCCGAGAAGGTTGAAAGCCAAGGAAATATATAGATAAAGTATACGGTGTTTTTCGGGTGATGAGGTTCTTTGATAATATGCACAAGCCTGACTTTTTTTTTCCCTCAGAGCAAAATTGATGTATTTGGTTAAACAAGATACTGGCTCCACCCTCAAAAAAACTTGGGGAAGCCAAGGTGTGGGAAGGAATACTTCTTGGCATATTTCTTCAAGTCAGATTTGGGGCTGGCCATAGCTCGGCTTGTGTGGCCCATGGCTCCAGGAGCTTCTAAGATGAAGAACCAACACTTACGTGGAAGGGTCTACTTTAGCACCGACTGTGACCTTCAAGGAGGCATTGGTGAAGTGGAAGGAAAAAAAACCTTTTGTAAACAACCCAGCCAAAGAGCCAGGGAGGGGAAAGCTATGTGGGGTCTGGTGTGTCCCATGTGCTAGGGAGGCCAACTTGGAAAAAGTCAGAAAAAGAATGAGTATGACTCCACGATTAGAGGAGTCATCTTCTCAAAAAAACAGTATGAGCATGGCTAAGATGAAACTATCATCTGGGGACTTTGAAATGGCTATTTTTACCAAGTTACAGGAGAAGTAGTCTAGTAGAAAAGGTGGACGATATGCATGAACAGATGGGGAATTTGAGCAGAGAATAGGAAATTGTAGAAAGGAAATGGAAGAATGGAAATAGTAGAAAGGAAATGGAAGAATGGAAATAATAGAAATGAAAACCGTAATATCAGAGATGAAGTATTCCTTTGACAGGTTAATCAATAAACTGGACAAAGGCAGACAAAAAAAAAATCTATGAGCTTACAGCTAGGACAGTAGAAATTAACCAAACTAACACAGAGTATAAACAAAGAAATAATTGTGCAAACCCCAAACTAAGCACCAAGATGTGTGGGACAATGACAAATGATCTAAGACACATAACTGAAGTCCCAGAAAAAGGGAGATAGAATGGGACAGAAGAAAGAGTTGTAGAGATAATCACCAAGAATTTCCCGAATTAATGAAAGACAACAAACCACAGATCCTGGAATCTCAGAGAACCCCAACCAGGATAAATACAAAGAAAAAGAAACCTAAGCATATCCTAGTCAAACTGCTGAAACCAAAGGTAAGAAGATATCTTGAAAGCACCCAAAAAGAAAAACAAATTGCATAGAAAAGTAAGAAAGCAGTCTTTTCATCAGAAATTTTTCTAGCCAGATGGTTCCTGAGGCCCAGCTGTGTCCCTGCCTTATAGGTCCACAAGGCAACCCAGTGGTGTTCCAGGACCCCATCTGGGGGCTGATGCTAGCTTAAGCAGGTTTTTGTTACCTGCAGAAACAGCAGTGGGCTGGAACTGAGCTAAGCAGCGTCCTCCAGGGCATTGGATCCGGGTGTCCACAGTGCCTAGCCCTCCCTCTCTTGTCACACCCAACACCCCCACCCCCTTTAAACTCACCTGGCCCTGAGCCAGCTGGTGGCTGCATCAACCCTTAAAGACCATTTACTGGCTGTGATTGGGAGCAGGCAGAGTAGGTAGAGGCTAGATATACCAGTCGGCTGGCCTGAATGCCCCTCAAGGTGGGCCCTGGGATCTGACTGTTGCCTCAAATTCTTCCCCCAAAGGTGACCTGCCTGGAACAACCAAAGCCTGAGTCCAGCTGGCATTGCTGTCAGGGCTCTGCTGAGGGCATGGTCACTGCTATTGGCTGTAATATCTGCGGCGGGGGGGCAGTGGCCAATAATTCATGGTCACCGTCAGGGTCAAGAAGATTTAAGTTTCCTCTCCCACAACCCCCATTCTAAGAGTCCCTATGTGCCTCTGTCACCTCACTTTCTGGAAAAGAGTTCCTTTACTGCAGGAGCCACAAGGAGGCAGCAGTGTGCTTATTTAAGGGCCTTGGCTGACCTGGATGGGAGCCGCTGAAAGATGGACACAGCTGAAGCTGGGTGAAGTTTATCTGAGAAGGTGCACGGCCCAGTGAGGAGCGCAAGTATGGCAAAGGTCGGTGAAGAGACAAGGGATTCCTGACCCATTCTTTGGACATCTAGATCCTGCAGACAATTCCTGGTGGCCAGAGTCTTTTCTCCCTCAGCCTAGGTCCACTTCCTCCCCACTTGACCACCCACCCCCAGCAGGGTCTGCAGTCCAGAGATCTGTCCTTGTGAATGATTCTGCAGGCAACTATATTTTAGGAACTCCGCCAGGAGGCCCTACCTGCATACTTCTTCAAATATGTATCATGTCCTCATTTAGTCATTCAACAAATACCTGCTAAGTACCTAATACTCGGCACTTGTAGGCACTAGAGATACAGTACTGAAGAAGATTGTTTCTTTTTTTTAAGTGCTTTCACACAGCTTACATTCTACTGGGGGAAAACAGACAGACAAAAAATTAGTAAAATACACAGTATATCAGATGGTAAAAAATGCCATGGGGAAACAAATTTCCGCAGAGGGGTAAAGTCCCAGGATGCAGAGGTTACCATTTAAAATAGGGCATGTCAGGCCTTGCTGAGGTGACGTTTGAGTCAAGATTTGAAGGAGATGAGGACGTAAGCCCTGGAGAAAGCGTGCAGGCCAAGGGAACAGCCTGAGGTGGGAGCGCGCCTAGCATACTCAAGGATGGCCAAGCCTCCAGTGTAGATGGTGCCAGGTGAGTGAGTGAGAGGAGAGAAGCAGGGAAGGTGCCTGAGAATGCCGGGGCGGGGTCGGGGGAGTAGATCATGTAAGACCTTGGAGTCGACTGTAGGGACTTTTTTGTTTTTCACTCTGAAAGAATAGGAGCCATTTTTACTCTGAATAAAATGGGAACCACTGCAGAATTTTGAGCAGAGAAATGACGTAATCTGACCTACACTTCAAGAGCATCGCTCTGGCTAGAGTGATGGGAACCGACTGGAGGCTGGGAGGGGGAAGCAGGGAGACCAGTCAGAAGCTATTACCATTCCCTTTCCATTCAGGAAAGCTTAGTAAATGAGCTCACGTGCTACTCCACCTACCATGAAGCCTCTCCTGATCCTCCCTAAGACGCTGCGCCCTTCTCCCGGAGGCTTTCTCCACCTTTGTTCATGCATCTCTTCCAGCACTGGTCAGTCTTGTCTTTGTTGCGGGATCATCGTGTGGCTGTCTGCATTCCCACCACACCTTAAACTCTCTAAGAGCAGCTGCCCAGTTGCTTTCAAAGCAGTAGCTCCCCCCAACACAGAGTGCTGTGCACATGGTTGAAACCAAGTCAGACTTTTCCCTGAGGAACAAGTGAGCCCGTCCCTCCTTAGATGAGCTGCTTTGCTCTTGCTTCGGAGGCTTCTTCCTGGCTGTGTTTCTGCCTGGAGAGCCACATCTCTTTATGTTACGCGCTTAACCACCGTGACAGCCTTAATTCGGTCTGTTAGCCACACTACACGACATAGCTTGTTTCTGGCCTGAAGAGGCAGCCTGTCAGAGCCGGCAGGAAACAC